TTAAAGATGGCTGTTCCCCTGCTTCTCTGAATTTATGAGTTTTATCAGCAAGAGGAGCTCAGTCCTGAGCTGAACAAGCCTTTTGGAGCAAAGGAAGCTGCGAGCAGGGCGAGGCGCTGAGAATAAATGTGTGTTTAACTCACCGGTCAGGTTACCTCCCTGCTGACTGGGAATTACTGCCAAAGTGACATGCTGCAGCTGACGCACGTGGCTTGCGGTGGCTGTCTCTGCTGGGTTACGGTCTGAGAGCAGGAGCGGAGCTAAGACGGGGGGGATACAGCAGAAACCCTCTCTCAGTGGGGCACAGGGCAGTGTTACATGTGCAACGAGTTTTGGGTGGCCGTGGGGCTGCAGTGCCACCGGCACAGGCAGCCAGGGAGGCGGCAGCAGAAGGACATGTCTGAGGAGATGACACAGCCACGGAGGGCAACCATGCACCTAGGGGGAAACAGGACCACTCCTGATCCTTTGAAAGTGAGCATGAAACACTGGAACAGGATTAATTCAAGCTAGAAAGGTGGAGCCAGGGAATTACACACGTAAAGCAGCGAAATTCAGCAGCACAGCCAGTTACTCCATGGCACCAACTAGACCCCTGTCCCATGTCCCACCTGAGCCTCCGCTCTTGGTGGGGTGATGGGGAGGACCAGGTCGGGCCTCGCTGCGGGCGCAGAGGCAAAGCGTGTCCCTCCCCTTGCCTCCCCCAAACCCACAGCTGCCACTGGGGCTGCGTGCCAAGCCGTGACTGCCCCAACGACACCTCCTCCAGATCAGCCCTTTCCAGCCATAAATCAAGTTATTCCCTGAAAAGCTTCCACTGTAGTTCATGGGCACAGCAGCTATTCGGGACAGAGGAGACCGCCCAGGGTTGGTTTTCCACGCCAGACGCTGGACGGGACATCTGACCCCTTCACCAATTTTCCCACTCCCTCACTGCCCAGGTCCAGCCCCGTCTTCCCAGCAGTCGGGGTTGCGGGACGTGCTGTGCCGGCACCCATGCGGCCCACCCCGCAAGGGGCTTTCTGGGACTGCCTAGAAGGCATCTGGGACCACTTGCTCATCCTTTCAGTTTTGCCATTTATTTTCCTTTCAGGAATGTTTCCCTTTCGTTCCTGTTCAGAAGGAAACTGGAGCCTGGTCTTTGGAGAAACCCGGGAGAAGGGTGGTCCCTGAAAAGCCTGAGGCCAGGTCCAGCTACATGGGGCAAGGCAGGCACTCACCTCCTGCACATGCAATGCATCTCAAACTGTTTTTTTTTTTTTTATTTTATTTTGGAGCATTCTGGCAATGCATAAATTATAAAACAGTCACCGGACCACGGGAAAAAAGCTGCCTCGGGGACACTGGGGACACAGCTTCAGCTTTCAAGAAGAGCCCTGATTTGAATCTGAGTTGCTGATGTACCCTATTTTTGCTGAATGCACTCTGGTGGCTCTAGGATGACTAAATGCTGTGTTTTGTTTGTTTGCCCTCAAAACCTGCTGTTTTGATTGCAGTGCAACAGCATTTACCAGTAAAAAGGCTTTAATCAAATATTCATGACCAGCAAACACACCACAGTGGCATCAGTGAAATCCCAAAATGCTAATTCCTGGGTACATTGTGCACAGCTTTTGGATTTTTGAAGCTCTGCCATCTTTAAGTGTAGGACAAGGCCACCTTCAATCTTTGCTGACTTTCACTCTCCCATTTGTGTCTCTTTTAGAAGGAAGCGCGTTGCATCCAAACCTTAGAGGAAATCCTGAAGTTTTCAGGACAATGTTGACATAAAACTTATCACCTGGCGTAGGACCAGAGGGAAAGAGAACAGAGAACGTGTCACTCTGCAGCCTTGTCTCTTTAAGGAAAATACTTTGCTGATAATATTCACCAAAAAAAAAAAAAAAAGAGGAACAAGTTCATCAGTATGCATATTTAAGTGGATAAATCAAAACTGT